CAGAAAAAAAATATCACAGTCATTCCTTAAGGGCATACGATACAGTTTTGATCCCGTAATGAAATTTTGATGAAAATTTGCATATAGGCTATTTTTTACCTGATTAAATCAAATATGCAATAAAAAATATACCATCATGTGCTACTTTTTGAGTAAATTGAGGTTGAAATTTCAGATATTTCCTCAAAATTCGGATTTATGGACGTATTTTTCCTTTCGACAGAAATACACAACTTTTTTGTTTTAAAAGATAAACACAAGCTGTTTTTTGTTAAATTATTTGTAATTTCTGTTTTATATAAATGTTCTATTAATTTGTACATTTTATTTTTACAAATAAGTCATATTTATCAAATGCTCATGAATGTAGAAAAAAACGTCATTTTTTGCTGTATATTTATCAAATTTAAAATAATTGCAATATTGACTTTTTCATGAAAATTGGTACACATAATCTTCATACGTAATTCAACCAAATGTCATTTTAAAAAAGAAGGGTCCATGAACTCGTTTTCAAGTTAAATCAGTTTGAATGATAAAAATCAGTCGAAAACTGCATCTTTTCCCGATAAGTCACAGTTTGACGTCGCGAAAATGACAATTAACGTTAGCAACGTCATTACTTTCCCTGTAACTGTATCGTATGCCCTTAATTGTATTTGAATGGAAAAATTCATTCATAGACACTCGTGAAGTAAATATTTTAGTATTTTTGTGATGAAGGACTCATATAAAAGTTTAAAGTTAGTACAAATATTACATGTACAATGGACATATAAAAGTCTTTTTCTTTGAACTTTTAAAAATCAATCTCTTTCAGGAGTCGGTTTCACAAAAAAACTTACGACTAAGATTGATCGTAAGTCATGAACAATGCAGTATACTTACGATCAATCTTAGTCGTAAGTTTTTTTGTGAAACCGACTCCAGACTTGCATTTTCATAATTACATGAAGCGTGACTAATTTCTGTTAAAAAAACGACTTAGCACCAAAAACTGCAATGCAATAGGCCTAGTTATATTATTTTTAGATAGAAGAAAAGTTCGAAGTCGAATCTTTCTCATTATTATTTATTGGCAAGTTCACGATTTGCCGTCTAAATTACTAAAGTCCTCTTTTTGACAATTTGAATCCATTAAGCAGAACCCGAATAGAATAGAATGAGATAAAATTTATAGTTTACTTATTTAGTTTAATTACATGTAATATACATACACACAAAAGCAAACTAATTTGCTTTAAAATTCGTGTTTTAAGAAAGAAGTTTAAACTTGAAAAAAAAAACTGTCGTGACGGGTGACGAGCTGGAATTTAAAGGCTTCGCATTCTAATTCAGTACATTTAATAAAAAAAAAATTATGTTAGAACTTCTAAAACGTATACGCAGTAGTCATTTATAACGTACAGCATGCTTTGATTGCATTTGATGGGACTTTTTGAAGGAAACAGACTCGTTTCAGTTGAACAACAAATGACAAAAATATGCCCAAATATGGTAGTCACGTTACTTCGTTGTTGTCTTTAGACATGGGACCAAACCGGGGTCAGCTTTCCGACTGCTGAACAGAGTTGTACAGACAGTGGGAACACCGATAATCCACATTTTCAGTTCAAAGAACTAAACTTTCTGAAATTAAATACTGCCATCTGAATTCTGATATCGGTGGCTGGACTTCAGAGAAAATTGTACGTATCACATTGAACGCATGGCGGGAAATGCCAATAATAAATGTGTACATATTTCAGTATAGAAAAGGTAAAATAAGCTGTTCATTGTTGTTTCAACTATAGATCAGTGAATTGATAGCGATCCTCAAAAATACAAGACACAGTAATTGAACAACAATAGTATGATTATAAGCATTATGAATAAGTCTTATACTAGTAAGTCAGTAAGACAGATTAAAAGGACGTATCCTAAGCATGTTTAAATGACGGCGAGGTGCACTGAAAATTTAAATTAGTCACTATGACTATACAGTTAGTCAAATATTAGTAGAAAGGTAGTCAACAGCATATATGACTACCCATCTGGTCATTGTGACTACCTGCATGGTCAATTTGACTTTGTTAGTGGTCACAGCACCACGTGGTGTTGAGTATCGGTTTTCACGCGCACTTTCGCGTTCCTTTGTTCCCTAGATCGTGTCACTGAGATGTAAACAAACCAGGAGGCACGAAACTGTTATATTTTGTCAATTAAACTAATTGTTTAAAGTAAGTATCATTTATATTTGTTTCAATTTAACTTAAAAAAATTAAATTTAAGAAAAAAAAGTTTAATAAATGTAATATCGACACATTTTGACGTAATAACAATAAAAAAGGTGGAGATATGAATACGGGATGTCAATTTTGATACACATACAACGTATTGTCGATTGAAAAGAGTATTGGGCGGTATTTTTTGTTTCACCTGATCAAAAGCTGTTAAAAATAAACACTGCAATCGATATTCACAACAACAAATGAAAAAAACCTCAGGATCCCAGAGCTTTCATTAATGAGGGGCCCCATTAATATTGGATTGTAGTATGGGAGACTGCTTTGTTTCTTATGCTTACACTATATTGTTGTGTTACAAGATTAGTGACTTTATATATCCTTGTGCTTACATTACAATGATGTAGTATAGGATGGCAGGCTGTCAAGATCGTGGTGCTTATATTACAATGTTGTGGTATAAGATGGGTGGCTGTCAAGATCCCGGTGCTTACATTACAATGATGTGGTATAAGATGAGTGGCTGTCAAGATCATGGTGCTTACATTACAATGCTGTGGTATAGGATGGGTGGCTGTCAAGATCCTGGTGCTTATATTACAATGTTGTGGTATTAGATGGGTGGCTGTCAAGATCTCGGTGCTTACATTACAATGTTGTGGTATAAGATGGGTGGCTGTCAAGATCCCGGTGCTTACATTACAATGTTGTGGTATAAGATGGGTGGCTGTCAAGATCCTGGTGCTTATATTACAATGTTGTGGTCTAGGAGGGATGGCTTTCAAGATCCTGGTGCTTACATTACAATGTTGTGGTATAAGATGGGTGGCTGTCAAGATCCTGGTGCTTATATTACAATGATGTGGTATATTATGGGTGGCTGTCAAGATCCCGGTGCTTACATTACAATGTCGTGGTATAAGATTGGTGGCTGTCAAGATCCCGGTGCTTACATTACAATGTTTGTTGTTTATGATGGCTGACTGTTAAGATATTTATGATTGCATTGCAATTTTCTGTTCTTGAGATGAATGAATTTTAGGACATTTGTGTCTGTGTTACAAAGATGTGAAGTCATGATAAGATAAAAAAAAAATAGCAATATTCCGGTCTTGACAATACAAGTTGTATTTATCAGGGGTTAATTGACCAAGTATTGGTCTCAACACAACAAACAGCTCTGAATTTGAAACACAATAAAAATATGCATACAAAGAAAACATATTTGCTCTCCCTCTCCTTCTCGAGCTCGAGGACAATGTCCCCAACATACCCGTCATAATCATGAATTATTCAAGTAAGTGTTTTAAATCAAAGATTTTTAAATTTGTTTTTTTTCTGAACTGACTTGACTGATGTACATTATTTATTGTTATATTTTAGCTTCTAAAATGATATAATTATATTTTTCAGCCAATGAAGACATTACTATTTGTATGAAAACAGCTGAGCGATGTTTTGACCAGAGAGAATATTACACTGACACATGCAGAGATGATACTGACAAAATATCTGAAATAAACACTTCAAATTCTGACATACTGAAAATGTATAAAATAGTTCATATATCTTTAAGTTGGGATATCATGATGTATGGAAAATGAGTTTATAATAAATATATTTTCTTTATTTGATTTTTAGACTTCAATATATGCCACTGAGTAATGGTAACATATGCAAACTTGCATCCTATTTTGTTTTCAAAAATTCTAAATTAAAGAAAGAAAAAATAATTTGGCTTGAGGTCATAAACTGAAAAATTGATTAAGGGTTATCAAAGGCCACTCAAAATCTAATAAAGCAACCACAGAGCAAAAGGAATCAGAGCACTCTGGTGTTCTTAGACCTAAAGATATAGGAAGGTTTTGAACATTGAGCACTGTGTGGTCCTATACTGTTATCATTGTTAGTAATTGCAGCTTTTGTATTTTTATGATATTATATTCAAGATGTATTTGTCAATCCCATGGAAGAGAAACAAAATAAAGTAAATTACAGAAAAATATAACATAAAAGTACCAAACAGATAGAAACACACACAAAGTAAAATGGTAGAACAACAAAAAAACACAAATCAAAAAAACAGTCAAACAGTCTATTGGTTGTGACTATTCACAATAATCATGTTGACTAACCAACATGGTCACTTTCGACCATTTCAATAAGTCATATGGACTGCATTCAATTGTCAAACTGACAAATAAGCATAGTCAATTTGAACAATCCAATTCGTTATGACGAGTATAACATATAGTCATTTTGACTTCCAAACATAGTTATAATTACCACCCTACTCAGTCAAATGTGACTAACCATCTAGTTAAACGACTAATAGCATAGTCAAAATGATTAAAATGCATTTTCATCTAGAGGACAGTCAAAATGACCAATTAAACTGGTCAAATTGACTAATTTAGGTTTTCAGTGTGAGAGTTTGTGATCCGTGTTGAAAGTCTCACTGTGACTTTGAGATGAATAAAAGCAATAAAAGCGCCTTTCCTTTGCTTTTTGTGTTTTTTGCTGTGCAGGTATTGGTTTTGTCTCGTGGATGATATCTTTTTTTCTATTGGTTACATATATAATAATAAAAATCTAAGTATAAAATACTGAAATTCTAGTACCACGTTTTGAAAAATTCCGGGTTGTTTTTGGTTTTTAAAAAAAACTTTTTTTCGTTTTGTATTTTTTTGTTAATTACTATTGTTGTATAGAAAACTTACTTAAAAGATCTCTCGACTATTGGTGTTAACATACTTCTATAAATATACAACTTACCCTGCTCTTCCTGTTTAAACTGTTATGAATGGGAATAAGTTGAGGAAAACCATTTACCTCATTGTTTGTACTAGTAATTTAAATGTAGTTGACAAAATTAACCCACTGTCGTATCGTGTTGCTAAGAAACATTGACGTAGTAGAGAATTGATAAGAAGTAGTGGATTCGTAAACGATAATCAACTAGCGACTTTAGTCGCAAGTTGATTATCGTTTCCGAATCCACTACTTCTTATCAATTCTCTAGCTTAACCCATTTCTAGTAAAACGACTGTCTGTTTTATGTTTTGACAATGAATCAACGGAATTTCATAAAAATAATTTCGTATTTTGTCTTTTTTATTTTATAATAGCTGGAAATGATTATATCCACACGGTTCACGTCTATATTTAAGTTAACATACGTTTAATATAACTTAAATGGGTTGTTAGCTCCCCTTTTTATTACCAGATTTCATACTTGTATATTTATATTTCATTTAATGCTTTATCATTACAAAGTATTTAAATTATATAGATTTTGGTATTTATGGTTTATTCAAAAAGACATATATAAATATACAGAATTTATTTATCTTTTTTTGAATAGTTAAAAAATTGTAATTACCAAAATTTAGAAACCTTTGAAATTTACATATATAGTATTTAGCAATCTGCTGTTGTCGACAGCTGATTACGGATTGTCTACCATTTTAACCGTACTAAGTCAAATACATATATTTAGCGTAGTTGCCATAATACTACAATTTCATCATGCTCCAGTTAATGATGCTTTCCGAAATAAATAAAATAATTGCTTAAGGTCTTTTTTGAACAATTATACATGAATTTTGTTTAAACTGTTTCCCTTTCATTAAGTTTAGATTATTTTTAACGTTATTACATTTGGCATCCATCGTAAACCAGTCAATAAACTAGTATTATCTGTGGTACGCATTCTGAATCTCCAGCAGAATTGCTCTTGCTACAGATGTACAATGTATAATTATGTAAATTTTTAACTTTTACATTCAAGCTGTTCATAGCCGTGATCGTCTAGTCGTTGGTACCGAAAAACATAACTGTGACATTAACAGTGCCAAGTTCAAACCTTGTACCCGAATTGAAATTTTTTCATTGTAATTTTTTTCTCAACAAAAATCATTATATTGTTTTAATCATAGAGGTATTATATACTTCATTTTCATTTAAAGGCGATAATTTTGTTTCTGGTTTTACAATCAAAGAAGTAGTTTTACGGTCGTAGCTTATATATCACACTTTATTCAAGTTAGAGTCCGTTCAATGTTGACGTGATGTATATTTGGACCATTTATAATCAAACAAAGAAAAAAATATTGATAGTACGATATCATTATAAGACTAAAACCATAAGTAAGTATTTGCTATGATAAAAAGGAAAAGTCCTTGTACGTTAAAAGTGACAAGTGTAATGGGCATATGAATGTTTATTTTATCAAGGAATTGCACTAATATATACAATTCCTTGATTCTCTAGTGTTTAGAACTAGTGTGTAATAGCCACAATCGTATAAAGACCCATCGGTTCATTATAACGATGTTGAAAATCGACCAATGTTCAAACCTGACATCGTGAATAAACTCTGTTTTAAGATATTTCCATACTGCTATATAACTATAATCAAGAACGTTCAAATGTAGAACATAATCTTCCTTAAAAAATAACGTCCAAAATAAAACAATTTAAATAAATTTGAAAAGAACATGAACAAATCCAGACATAGTATATATATTTTATTAGATAACAAAAGCGAATTATCTCTGAGACAGACATACAGTTTATTGACATGTATTGACAGTTGTGCGCTTTATGAGTGTTATTTAAATATTGATTTATGTCAGCACTCGTGGTATAGTGGTATCATGCATAGACTGAAGACTCTACTGATTATGAAGAAAATACGCGCGAGTTCGAACCCTTCATATGCCACTCTTTTTTGAGAGGATAAAAAATCGTAAGTTAAAAGTTTAAAGTTATAATATAAGTTATCTTAAGTTAACGAAGTGGTCAGTGGATTCTTGAAAAATAATCTACTGTAAGAACAATAGACTGACGTCAGAGAAATGGGTTAAATCAATAAATATTTTACTTTCATTGAGATTATCAATGTGATTCATCATTTTTTAATTTACTTAATATTAAAACGGAACTATAAACAAATGTGATACAAGTGGGAGGTTTTTCTAGCTATAAAACCTTTTTTTTGTCCTAAGTTAAAGTTTTTTTTTTACATTGATACATCTTTTTTTATTTATATTGTGTCATAGATCAAATTTATTCGTTCAGTGTATATTTACTTGTTTTTTTTTGTATGTCTTTTTGATCGAGTTAAGCCATTTCAATTGATATTTTATTGTGTCTTTTTATATTGTAATATTACACCACTGTTTCAGGTTAGGGTGAAGGTTGGTTAAAACGTTTAAACCTGTTGCATTTTTATGCACCTGTCCTAAGTCAGGAGCCTGTTGTTCAGTGGTTGTCGTTTGTTGGTGTGGTTCATAAGTGTTTCTCGTTTCTCGTTTTTCATATAGATTAGACCGTCTGTTTTCCTGTTTGAATTGTTTTACATTTTGGAGCCCTTTATAGCTTGCTGTTCGGTGTGAGCCAAGGCTCCGTGTTGAAGGCCGTACTTTGACCTATAATTGTTTACTTTTTACACATTGTGACTTAAATGGATAGTTGTCTAATTGGCACTCATACCACATCTTCTTATTTATATTAACCCACCATTTTCCTCGAGTAAGGAATATGGCAATTGTTTTTCGCTTGTTCCGTTAATTGGAAGTGTTTGATTTTGTCAGTTTTTATGGACTTCTCCTTTATGAATTTGCCTTGAAGTTTGGTATTTTTGTTATACTTTTTTATAGTCAATACAAGAAAATTGTATGTGTAATACGATCAATGCCAGTCGTGTTGTATCAGCGATACTTTATGATATCGAATATCAGTCACAGTTCCCAAGGCTTTATCAAAACCCCTAATCTATATAACGTCATGTCACGTGAAAAACATCGATATGAGGTATACATTTAAGGAATGACTGTAATATTTTTTCTGTCTATGAAGAAATAACATAAACAATGTGGTGCACACTGAATAACCCGCGTAGCGGGTTATTTTAAAGTGTGCACCACATTTTTATGTTATTTCGAATAGACAGAAAAAATATTACAGTCATTCCTTATAAAATTTAATTCTTAATTCCATTTTAAACCGGAGTGAATCATGAAAAAACGTTGATGACGTCAAGGTCACATGACAAAATTATGTCTACTAGTGAGCTGATAAACAAAACAACGTCAGCCAATCGGAAGACGCGTTACATCCAAAATTAAATTATTAAACAATAAAACGAAAGTGTATATGATATGGCTTTTTTCAATATAACACACCGTATCAACCCTCAACCAACGTAATCCCTCGAGCAGGGATCTTTGAACTTTATTGGTGTCTCAGGTTGATACAGGTGTGATATTGTAAAAGTCCTTCGATATGTATAGATTATCGGTTTTTCTGCCGTTGATATCGTAACATATCAGCCGTAAGCGACAATGTGAACCTTTTTGGCGAGTAAGTGTAGCAAACGAGCATAACAGCTTCACGTGTTTTGAGCAGCTGATATTTTACAATATCTACACGCAAAAAATCCGATAATCTGTTTATCGTGCAAACTAGTATTTCTCCTTTCCCGTTTTATATAGACAGTGTTGCGTTTGATAACGTCTCCTACCACATTGTGATGTCGCCCACACATTTTGACGTCTCATAGCCGTGATACGAGAATTAAGGAGTGACTGAGCTCCAATACATTATTAAAAAAAAGACTTGCATTTATAATGAATAATTTACTAGTAGAAGTAGAGCTAGACAATAAGTAAACTTAATATTTCCTTGTTTTTTTTTTATAAAATAAACGAACATTGAATAAGTGCAGTTTGCAGTTTAAAGAAATTACGAAGGAACATTTCAAACTGCATTTAGCTTTCTGATGAAATCAGAGAACATTTTAATTTTTTTGCATGTAGTAACATCTTTTTCGCATATAACATCACGTTCTTCATCAGGAACATATTTGTTGTTAGTTTGTCCCCATTCCTTTTCAAATAGATTCAAACGCGGTAATAAAAATACCGGAAGCTTACCCGCTAGAGCAGATTTCTCAAGCAGGTCATATATTTTCAATGCTAGTACAATAGAGTTGTAAAGAACTGACATATGTGGATAGGGCAGATCATGCAGGATTCTTGATTCGGAATCTACTGTGTGGAATAAACAATTTTTCAACATGTAGCTAGATATTTCATCACTGGCGATGAATGTAACATTCCGACTCGGATTATTTCCGTCAAACGTATCAGCCATTTCAATCATCTGCTTTCTTTCATATTTTATTTTTGGACACACAAAGTTACTTTTCATAATTTTTGCTAAGGAATAACTTTGACGTATCCACTTTGGAAAAGAACGCATTAACTGAAGTTCCAACGGAGCGCAAGATATTCTGAAGAAAATATTAGTATCGACTTCTTCAAACTCTTCCTCGTCGTCCTCTGGATGTTGACATAACATCAAGAAATTTTCTTGTAAAACTCTTTCAGAAACAATGTTATTTGCGGTCAAATTAGCACCTATCGGACGCCAGTTCATTACTCGAATTGCGGGTACAATATCTATACTGGCATGTATTCCTTTGTAATTTTCGCCAATAATGAAAAGTCTAAAATTGATTGTAGGAGTGTTTAACTTATTATGTATTGAAAAACCATCCACGAAAACTTCATCATAAATCCATGTTGATGGATTTGTTAAAACACTTTTGACTAACACAAAGAAATCATCTCGTAATATTTTGCAGTTAAGAAACTTCTCCTGATCAAAGTAATATTGAAAATCCTCTTTTATAACATCGTTATTAATATGTCTGACATTGTGAAATCCTTTGTTGAAATGATTTCCTTGTCTAGTCTGATCTGGTGTACAAATCTGAGAGAATTTATCGAGAATTAGAAGAAAATCAAATTCATCGGGGTCGTCAACCTTTGTTCCTTCGTATGTGCTGCCAGAACGGAAAAGTGAACATTTGAATCTTTTGTCAAGATAACCAACCTGGTTTGCAATATGGCGAGTAATTGAGAAAACTAGCGATTCTATCCACCGGGCTTCATCTACAGCTTGAGGTAAACCCACTCCTTGAAATTCTAGAACATGACTGTAGTACTTCTCTATATCTTTTGGGAGGTCAAAGTGTTCTCTCAGATTTGAAATACTTTGGTATTCGGTATAACCAATTGACCAGTTGAGATTTATCCAGGAAGAGTCATAACCAAGTGCATTAGTGGAGTATGGTCGTTCAAATGATCCTCTATTCATAGATTTTTCCAGTAATTCTGATGTATCCCAACATTTCCAGAACAGGGCAATGTCGTGTGGTGTTCGACCAGACCGATCGCGCTTATAAACATCGGCTCCATTTCTTATTAAAACGTCCACCTCTCGAATTCTGTTTTCCCATGCAGCGTAATGCAGAGCAGTGCTTCCAAATTTATCGGTTTTGTTAACCCGACATCCTTTATTTATAAGATACTGGCATATCCGTGGATCACAGGCAGGAAAAGTTGCTACTATCAGGGTACGTCTGCACTGATCAGTCAAATTTAAGTCTGCACCACTTTCAACCAAAAGCTTCACTACCCTAAGTTTCCGAGCAAAGAAAAGAGCTGTTCTTCCAAAAACATCTCTAATGTTTACATGCGCTCCACGTTTGATCAAATATTTGAGAATTGCTATCTTTTCATTTTGCTCTAAAGGTGAATGTGAGGTTAAATGGAGAAGTGTGTGGCCAAATTTCTCTTGCGTATTGATGTTCTGAATAAACATGATGAAATGTTTGACAAGTTTTACGTTAACGATTCCGCGAATAATGTAGAAAGACACAGGTATATGACCATCGTTATTTTGTTGATTCATAATAATGGTCAATTGCTCTTTGGGGATAAGATACAATTTTTCATCCAATAAATGAAACATAAATCTTTCTGATGTATCAATACCTGCTCGACAACGTAGAAAACTATGTATAAAATTCTCTCTAAATTTGTTTTGTATTGTTACATTTATACCTTTGATTTTAAGCAGCTCTGGTATGAAAAGTTCACTGTTGATCCCTCGACTTGCAAAGTGCAAAATAGTTTCTCCTTCTTCCGTTTTGGTATTTATATTAAAGCCTTTCTTTATAGCAAGTTTTATAGCTTTAACGACGTGGTGGATATTGTCGCCTTCAAACTCGGATGAAGCAGCAACTAGAAAATGTAGTGGGGTGGCTCCGTCCTCGTCAGGTTCATTTACTGGTGGATTTAAACATTTCAACATTGCTACAACTTTGTCAACATTGGCTTCCAAACAAGCGTAATGCAAAGGTGTTTTTTCAGTAATGTCTTTGCAGTACATGTTAGCACCGGCCTTGAGGACCTCTTTAAATACTGTGAAGGATGTTTCACTGACTGCGGCAAGATGTAAAGCCGTGTCTCCGTCAGAATCTGGTAAATTTACATTTGCCTTATTTTGAATCAATGTTTTAACGCAGTGAATGTCATCATTGGTTATAGCAATTTGCAAAGGAGAGATAAAATCCCTACATGGTCCGTCAACAGAAACGGGATTGAACCGTAGAAGTTTTTCAACCGTTTTGTTAGATTTAAACTGAACGGCTGCTAAAAGAGGGTCTTTCCAAGGCATTATATTGGTAAGTGTTTTTGTTGTTCTGTCAAACTAGTAAGTAAATGTAGTGATTTTCCCATAATTATGTATTTTAAAATGCATCTTTACATTGTCGTTAATGTGTAATATACACTCTGGTTGGTTTACAGTCGATTTGTGTGCCGTATTTCATCTGAAATTAGAAACAATGATAACGAATTACAAATATAATGTGATTTTTCTACAATCTGGTACGAAATATGTGGTAGTCGTAGTAGTTTTTATCTCGTCTTGTATATGCAAGAAATACTGATTTTGTCACTTGGCTTACAGAAAACATTTACTGTTGTTTACAATCAATCTATCAGTTGTAACTTTTCAAACAAATAAATGTTGAGCTTAAGTTAATTCAACTTCTTTAATACTCTGAAGGTAACCTGCTTCTTTATATTTTGGAATATTTAAGCCGAAGAGTGAACTTAAGATATAGGAACTTGCACAATCATGCAGCTTTAACTTCATACTCTCCATCGTTGAGGGTTGACGCCAAATACAGAAATAGATTGTCATGCCCTTGATGTATAAAATCTACATGGACGTTCAAATGCTGATATTGGAATATAAAGTAAGGGATTATTTCAATATCAGCAGACTAAGCACGTTGAATAAAAGATTCAGGGCAAATGTGGCAGCGACCGAACGACACTCAAAAATATAGCTACAGGTAATTTAAACATATTTTCTGGTCTAAATAAACAATAGGAGTGTCACTATAGGTTCCTTTACAATCGAGAAATGTCTCTACAATATGTGAATAGAAAGCCTATCAAAGATAGGCTTTAACATTAAATTTAAAGAGCAACATATCATTCAAATGTGCTCTAAGAACCACTGATGATATTATTGCGCTTCCTCTGAGTAATTACAAGCATTTTTGTACGACATTATCTAGTATGTGTTTACTTGTATCTACGTAATTTTTGTCTGTTATACCTATATCATACACCAGTTCGTCTTCTGAACAGATTTGTTCTACTTTTTGTTTGAACTTTTAGTCATTTCCTATATCGAAATTGAATAAAGCTGAGTTGAGTACTAAACTACATCCTCACCCCACCCACCCACCAAAAATAAAACAAATCAAAACAAGTCAAAACAAAACAAAACAAAACAAAACACATGCTAAAGAACAACACCGTTGATTTTGTGATGTGTGTAGATCTATTGAGTCAAACCCTCTGGATAAAAATACAAATAATACAAACATCATTTTAAAAGACTATGAAAGGTTAATCTTTTATAGTTTTATTTGGGGTTAGTCATTAATTCATATTTTTGTAAGCAGTTAACCATTATCAATATAAAAATAAGAAGGTGTGGTATGATTGCCAATGAGACAACTCTCCACCAGAGACCAAATGACGAAGAAGTTAGTTATTATATACGCCACCGCAGGGACTTCAACAATGAGCAAACCAATACCGCACAGCAACCTACAAAAGGCCCCGAAATGACAATAGAAAACAATTCAAACGAGAAAACTAACGGCCGGATTTATGTACAAAACAATAAACTAAAAACAAATATGATACACAGTAACAAACGACAACCACTGGATTACAGGCAAATACAGATTGTGACGGGATTAAACATGTTAGCGGTTGCCCAATCCTCCCTATTGATCTGGGACAGTGGTGGAACATGTTTTCCAATGTTTTCCTTTTAAACCACATCCTTCGATTGGCCCATGAAAGTACCATTTAAATTCGGGTGCGGGAAAGAAGAGCTCCTTGTCGTTGGTCGCTGTCTGCTATATTCGTTTTTCTTCATTGTTGAAGCATCAATCAAGTCGGTTGTGTTATCTTTTGAATTGTTTCATACTAGTATAGTGTCATACGGTGGCCTTTTATAGATGACTATACGATAAGAGTATTGCTCATTCTTGTAGACTGAACGGTGAAGTGTAATTGTTCACGCCGTTGTCATTTATTCTTTATGGATAGTTGTATCATTGACATTTCCTTATTATTATACACAAAACATCTGTTGCTATCAATCCGCTTCTTTACGGATTATTTTGTTTGGAATTCTACTGGGTCTGGAGATATTAATCGATCTCCTTTCCGTAAACTCATGGAAGTGTCTATGGCCTAAACATATACCAAACAAATGATAATAAAAGACTGCATGTTTAAAACTCTGTACTACAAACGTGTTTACTTAAAAATCTCTTAATAAATGTTTTCTTTTTTTTGCTAGCAGTGGGTCTCATGCATTTGCTTTGTGTTCAGATTATATTTGTAGTTGATTCATTATTTGTGAGTTTTTAGATATAGTGAATTTATCATGACAGAGTCAAGTTGTTTTTTCCTGTCACTTTTATAGTCAGGTTAACATTAAGACTCAGTGATAGATGCAGGCCATCGGCGTGCCGCCCATTTTTTTGGATCTGAAAAATAGCAGTTTTTTTGTAAAAAAAATCGTAAAAAAAGATCGCAGTGCTACGCTCGCCGCGATTTCTACCCTTACGGACAATTAAGCCACCTATCCTTGGACCCTGGAGGACACACCCTAATACTTTAGGATGGTAGGTCTTTAAAACATTTATGGTCCCCATTGTCAATGGGGATGTGAATTTTGTAATGGTATGACTTAAAATTATTTCCGCAATGAGAACCCCTCCTTATAGAACAGGTAATATTTTGTCGTATCATTCCCTGAAATTCTATTTATATATGTTCTGAATGTCCTGAATAGTCTAATAGATAAAAGATTTAACTGCATCCCGAACACCTGTGTTTACAACTAATGTAAATGTACTCACTCAAACGGTGCAATTCATCAGATTAAGGCGTGTAGTGTCGCAAGTTTGATCAGGGGGATTTCCATACGGAAGTTTATTATTAATAATAGTGTAATTTTAAGTTGAATTTAAATGATTTTTAATCTTTACGTAGGTGATCTATTTTAAGATTATCGAGATATGAAAAAAATAAAAATAACTCTCTATAGACGTGGTGAGTCCGAAGCGCTTTTCTTGTTTTACCTTCATTGGGAACCCACAAACTTGAAAGTCAAAGATGTATAAATACTTGAAGAGGAAAATAACCTAATGATGCTGGATGTATAAATTCGGTCTGTCTTGAAACGGTGTATCGATGTGTGTGCCACGGTAGAACTTGAATAAAGATACTTGGCCTAAGACCGTAGATTCGCCTTCGATGTTTTTAATGGTATTTTTGTTGTTGTTCGATTACTGTAAAAATTGGGTATTCCACACATTTCTTTTATGTATATACACGTAGATGAAAATAACACTTTATAATTTTTGTACGCCTAAAGCGCTTTTCTGTATTTGTATTTACCAGGAACGCTCAAACAAAAACATGTGATAGCCAGCTCAGTAGGGATGTATAAATACACAGACACTCTAGGGTCCAATATATTAACATGTGATAGCCTGGGATGTATAAATACACAGACACTCTAGGACCCTATATATATATATATATATATATAAATAGCCAAATTATTCTAAGGTCAACTTTGCTTGAGGGCGTTTCCTAGCAGTTCCTTAATTTACCAACGGGGAATTTCACTGACTACTGAGCTTTTTGCACCCTCGGGGACTTACAGTCTATCAGCAGTGGTACAGGTATCAACCCAATGATAGTTAACAAAAATAACACTTTGTAAATTTCGTGCGTACAAAGCGATTTTCTGGTTTTACCTTTACCAGGAACGCTCAATCCCAAACATGTCGAAGCCAGAGATGTATACATACGAAGGAAACGTTAGGAGCTATGTATGACCAAAGACATAAAAAAAAAATAAGCCAAATTCATAAACGGTCAACTTTACTTGGGGGAGTCGGAACATTAGTTTCTTAAAGATTTCTAGATTTATTAACGGAGAATTTTAGAGAGGTATATATTATAAATTTATCAGTGCCAAAGAACTGCCATCTAACATCTAGTAACACCACTCTTCTTTTCTCATTCCTTCCTGCAATCGAAGAGAAGCCAGCTGTAGATACTCTCAATTCTTACAAGTTTAAAATGTTTGCTTTTATGTTTCAAGAGCAAAAATGAAATTGGTCAATAGTTCTGAAAGAATTTCTCTGGTGGTCATGTTTTTATTGATATCAATCCATCCAGCTTATATTTGTTTGAAGAGAGCCTGCTCTACCTTTCTCCTAAGTTTACTAACCCATAAATAATGCCAGAAATATACAAACCATTAAGCTTGCCGGATCGACGAAGGACACATAGTGTTAGCTAAAGTATTTTAAGGAGCCAGCTATTGTTCTTTGAGCATTGCATCGAATCGTTTACCCTGTCTTCGTTTGGCGTATGCTTTATTTGTCAAGGAATTAAAAGTATCTATCCAACGTACTCTCCTCTTCCTGTAGCAGTCGAAATTTCCCGTTCATCGTCGTAGTCGACCTACTTTACAGAACCTATGAATTATCGTCCTGACTTATAGTATTCATGACAAGTCATGTTTGCCACTAGACGTTAAGCCATCAACAATCAATTGTTTTGTTTTGGCCTAAATGTCCTATATAACACAATGTAATACATACAATTAATGAATTATGACCCTCGATTTCAGTTAATTCTTAAAAAAAATATACCAGACGCCATGATTTAACAACAGCATAACTAAGCCAAAAAGAAAGCTTAGTTAGATGGTCCTCATTTGCTGCAACTCATTTAAAGTTTTCTATAATGAAAAAATGGTATTATATGCTAGATATACTTTATACTGGAAATGTGATTAGGTGATTAAAACTGTAAATGTTCTCCTTGACAACACTTTTGTACATTTCGGCAATAAAGTTAATCGATCCGGTTGTAGGTATTCGATAAAATAAAGCTGTAAAATTTATTTCAAATATTACAGTTTGTCCTCCTCTTTTCTAACTTTTTTTATTAAGATATGTCGTTTTTAATCTTCAGTTTCTAGGAAATTGACGTTTATGATAAATAAAATACGTTGTGATAAGCTTCGTGAACGAGACTGCAAAAAGTTATAGTGTCAATATTTGATATGCATGGATATAGCTTTTTCTCTGTTTAAAGAAGTCTTTTTAAAAGTTTCATGCCTTACATATTTTTAGAATAATTGAAATATTTGAAGAAACGATCATGACAATGGCCTGCTTTAGTTTTTTATGTAGCGATTTGTAGACCGTTGTTTGTCTTTTCGGTGTTTTGTCATGATTTTGTGGATCTCTCTTCGACTTACGAGTTATGATTCTCCCTTTGTTATCATCTGCCTCTTATTTGTCGAGCCTGCGAGACATAGCGATCTTAGATTCCGCCGTCGGCGTTAACATCTAGGTTCAGTCTGTGGTTAAAGTTTTTTTAGACATCAATTTGTCAAAACTACATGGAATTTTATGAAATTTGGACAAAATCTTGTTTATGACCAAAATACAGTATCCAGGGCAAAATTTTGAAAATATCTATTTTTCATTTTTCCGTATTTTACTGATAAATGGAAATTTTAGTCGGAGGTTTAAGTTTTTCAGTCATCAAGCCTTCATGGAATTTTAGGAAATTTTGACAGAAGCTTAAGTTCTGACCAAAATACAGTATCCAGGGCAAAGTTTTGAAAATATTTATTTATTACAGATAAATGGACTTAGTTTTTTTTTTTACATTTAACAAATAGAAGCTTTTTTTATGATTAAGAGATAATTTCTTAAACAAATTTTTTAAAATATATATATTTTTTTCATTTTCAGTATTTTTCTGATAGATGAGCTTAGTTTTTTTACAGTTATTTTTTTGATATGATAAATTTGTAAACCTTCATGGATTGTTATGAAACTTGGACAGAATCTAATCTTCAATACCATGAAATAGCATCTAAAGAAAAAGTTTGATTTTTTTTTAAATTCTGTATCTAACTGATAAATGGACTCACTTTTTAAGTCAACATTTCACTTTTACACTGACAGCAACAATCGCAGGCGAGACGAATTTTTATGTGTTATCTTCGAGACATTTTTATTGCGGACCGTGTCCTAATTATTCATAAATGAGTCGAGAAGTTGTGAATTAGTTTGAAAGAGACTTCCAAAGATCGACCATCAACACATGATTCTTGAAACATTACCAAAGGCAGCTACAGAGGAGGATCATGGCTTGAAACGGACTCTCGGCACCCAGCTTTTCGTGTTAATATTATCTTTTTGACTACATAGACTTAATGATTGGGGTCATAAGAGAGACATATATAGTTCTAGTATCAGAGACTTAGTGATTGTTATAGTAGAGACATGTTTAGTTTTAGTATCAGAGACTTAATGATTGGGGTCATATGAGAGACATATTTAGTTCTAGTATCAGAGACTTAATGATTAGGGTCATAGGAGAGACATATATAGTTCTAGTATCAGAGACTTGGTGATTGTTATAGTAGAGACATATATAGTTCTAGTTTCAGAGACTTAGTGATTGTTATAGTAAAGTCATATTTAGTTCTAGTATCAGAGACTTATTGATTGTTATAGCAGAGACACATTTAGTTCTAGTATCAGAGACTTAGTGATTGTTATAGTAGAGACATATTTAGTTCTAATAATAGAGACTTAGTGATTGTTATAGTAGAGTCATATTTAGTTCTAGTATCAGAGACTAAGTGATTGTGGTTATAGCAGAGACATATTTAGTTCTAGTATCAAAGACTTAGTGATTGTGGTTATAGCAGAGACATATTTATTTCTAGTATCAGAGACTTAGTGATTGTGGTTATAGCAGAGACATATTTAGTTCTAGTATCAGAGTCTTAGGGATTGTGGTTATAGCAGAGACATGTTTAGTGCAATTATCAGTTACCGCTTACCTATTGATTAAGTTGGCTTGTTTGTTAGTTCAACCATGCGTTTTTTTATTGACTATTAAAAATATTAAAAAAATAAAATGGCCAAACAGGTATTTTGTATTTTGGATAAACCTGTCAAAATTTTGGGTTATCAGTGCTCTTCAACTTTGTACCTATTTTGCCTTTTTACTTTTTTTAATTCAAGCGTCACTGATGAGTCTTTTGTAGATGAAACACGCGTCTGGTGTACAAAATGTGAGTCCTGTTATCTATGATGAGTTTATTTACAACCACTGGGTTGATGCCCTTGTGGCTGCAGGTTTCCTTCATGAGTGTATCACCAACCCAGTAGTCCGCACTTCTGTGTTGACATGAATTATCATTGATATGGTCATAACTATAAATTAACTGTTTACAAAACTTTGAATTTTTCGAAATGCTAAGGATCTTCTACCTCAGGAATGGATTACCTTAGCTGTATTTTGGCAAAAACTTTCGGAATTTGGGGTCGTCAATGCTCTTCAACTTCGTTCTTGATTTGACCTTTTGAACTTTTTTTTATTGGAGCGTCACTGATGAGTCTTTTGTAGATGAAACGCGCGTCTGGCGTACGACATTTTAATCCTGTTATCTATGATGAGTTTATCTCATGCTTTGATTGGCAAATGACAATTAATTAATACTTAATTATCAAAAAGTAGAAAGCACATTTCGCATCTGTCAGGAGCCTACTGCCTGTTTGACGATACTTTGAGGGTTTTCCCTTGTTTCCGATTACAAGAATCACTTCATATTTAAGCAGCAGATTGGCAGGGATGATATTTTATCATGATTTTCAGACACTTACTTCCGGTTTTGCAATTGGTCCATGGACACAGTTATCGTCCTTCGGTTTTCGTCGTCTACAAATATAGTCCCTAGTGTGAACAGTGTATAACTTGCATTTTTTTTTTGATACACTTTCCCAATTTATTTCTTGATATTTTATGCATGAAATATTAAGTAAGGGGATGAAATTACATGTTAAAAAAATTTGGGTGCTGAATCTTAATGTTAAGTAGTGATTTGGTCCAGTTAAAAAA